TAATATACAGTATGCGCACAGTATATAATTAAGTGCTAAATTGCTTTACAGGACTGTAAGTGCATCAGGGAGGTACAAATCCAAAACCCAGAGTACAAGGCAGCAATCTTAGATAGGAAAAAGTTTCCCAAAGTAGTGACCATCACATACTCATTTGAGAAGGTTCAGCAAACACTTACTAGACCAACACCAGCTTTGGATATAAGAAGCAATTAAGATGTGGTTCTTTGTCTCAAAGAACACACTGTCTAATGGGAGGGGCAGAAAGAAGCACGTGTAAGTTCAATATAATATGAGAAATTGTAAGATAAAGGTCTGGCTTGGGAACAAACAGGAAGGAAGCCTCACCTAGTCAAGAGGTAACTCCAGGGACACTCAGGGCTGACACTCAGGGCTGAACAATTTGTGAGACTTGGCTCTCTCTTTCCATTAGGTAGGTCCTGGGGATTGAATTTAATTGTTAGGCTTAATGGCATGTGCCTTTACCCACTGAGCCATCTCACAGCCCTTAAAGCTAACTCTTGTAGATAATGTTTATGGAGTTCAGAAAAAACATTAAAAGGGTTTTTTAAGGACTAGAGAGATGGCTCAATGGTTAAGAGCATTGGCTGCTCTTGCAGAGGACCCAGGTTCTGTTCCTAATACCTGAATAGCAGCTACCAACTGTCTGTATCCTCTTTTGGCCTCTGTGGGAATTTCATGCATGTGGTATACTTACATGCAAACAAAACACTCATACACATACAAATAAACAGATTTTTAAAGTTTTAAAGGGAGTTTTTTAAGATTCATTTTTATTTTTTAAATGTGTGTATCAGTATGTGCATGTGAGTGCAGTGCTTGTGGAGGCCAGAAGATGGTGTCAGATCCATTTGAGCTGGAGTTTAAGGCAGTAACTTGTCGCTGCTGGGAACCGAACTCCCATCCTCTGCAAGAGCAGTATGTGCTCTTAACTATTGAGCCATCTTTCCTGCCTAAGGGTTTTATGAATATATTCAGTACTTTGCCTCCAAGTCTTCATTATGATTTATTGGGGCTATTAGATCCTTATAAGTTTTAATCTATCATTCTGGTCATGCTATTTAACCAAAACCAAAATAGGGTCAACTCTCCAAAGCCAATACAACTGCAGTTATTAGTTATTAGTGTGGACCCTCACTAAAATATATGTATAGGAATGATATTATCTGAGTGGGGTCTCTTGGGTATCTCAGTGTAACAGATGGGACACTCAAATTTATATAAATTACACCTAAATGGCTGCAGGTCAGTGATTCTCAAACTTTTACGTACTGTGCATCACAGCCTTACTGTTGTGGCATACTTATACAGAGAGACATTTATCCAGGCCAGCACTGGCCCACTGGATTCACATCTAAAAGCTGAGCCCCAAATGCAGCCAAGCCTTATCCCCAAATGCAGCCAAGCCTTATCTTATATATCCATTGGGGGGGTCTTTGTTGCCCCTATATGACAACACGAATTCTGATTGTGTTTTCTATGCTATAGGGTTGAAACAGGGTCATGCATGTGTACATAGACACTGATTATATCAAGTTGCCTTTCTTCATGTTGAAAGCCCCTTAACACCTTATCTGGGGGTAGAGAGATGCTTACTAGTTAAGATGCACTGTTCTTTCAGACAGGTCCCAGCATGCAGGTCAGGCAACTCACAACTGCTTGTAACTCCAGCTCCAAGGGATCTGAAGCCCTCTTCTGGCCTCTACTGGCACCAACACACAGGACACACACATATTGACATACACATACATATAAAATAAATCTTAAATGCATAGCACTGGTGCCTTATTTCATGCCTCTATTAGCACCCATGAGGTGGAGTTTGGCCTGCTATATTAAATTCTGGAATCCTGAGATGATTTTTTTTCCATTCTAGTTCCCCTTCTCATTTTTCATTATACTGCCTTCGCCTTTTCCCATATTCTCACCTCATTAGGTATCAATTGAGTGCCTTCTATGGGCCACATATAGATTTCTAAGTGCTGTAGAGAGAGTAGTAACCATGACCAAGAAAACCCTTGCACTGGTGAAGCTTCTTTGTAGTGAGACACAGAAGCAAGAGACAGTGCAAGAGCTTGCAATCAAGAACTTGTGTGCTGGACATAAAGTAAATTTAGTAGCATTTGAAGCAGCTTCTTCTTTTTTTTGTTGAATATGTAACCTCAGGCAAGTTAATTGCTCAACAATGTTTTCCTCTGTAAAATGGGACTAACAATAATCCTCGACTAACCCCCTCAGCCTCTGGGAAGAATGTTCAGAGATACTAGACAAGAATCAATTTAGCAGATCCTGTTGCATTGGCCTGGTGGGTGATTTACAGGGTATTGATACTGTGATTTTCAGTTACTTCTCCAATATTGTCATCAATATGTTAAATAAAACTCCTCCTCTGTTTAGCCAACATTCAACAGTGTTTTGGGAGTGTCCATGGATCTCTAAATCATTCCTCTGTCCATAGTCACTAGTTTCCTAGGCAGAGGCTACACTTCACCAAGTCTCAAATTGCCAAATGAGGAAGGTATAGCAATAAGGTCCATTGGATAACCTACCTCCCCAGTTAGGTACCTGAGGAGCCCCATGGTCTGGACAGAGTTAGGAATGTTACAACTTCTCAGGATACTCAATGGAAGCTTAAAAATAAAGGAGAAAAACTAAGGGAAGCCAAGTAGGTGCTTACCTTCACCAGACTGGCCTGTAGGCACACCTGTGGGGCATTTTCTTGATGGCTCATGGATGCAGGAGGGCCCAACCCTTTGTGGGCAGTGCCATTCCTAGGCAAGTGGGCCTGACCTGTAAAAGAAATGTACCAGAGCAAGCCAGGGAGAAGTAAGCTAGTAAGCAGCATTCCTCTGTGGTCTCTGTTTCAGTTTCTGCCTTGACTTCTTTCAATAATGAACTATTATTTGGACATGTAAGAAACAAACCCTTTCCTCCCCAAGCTGTTTTTGGTCATAGTGTTTATCAAAGCAAACTAGAACACGGTCCATCATATTTGTTGGGGCAAGGAACACCCATCTACATCATTATCTGTCTTTGTACACCGTAACTACCTTGCAAGTAATATATTCTTGTTTGACAGATGTAGAAATCAAGGCTCAGAATGGCCAAAAAAATTGTCCATGATTACTGTAGTAATTAGTATCACCACAGTGATTCAAATTCAGGCCTTTTTTTCTCTCACACTGCATTTCATACAAATAAATTGCATGTTTTTTTGAAAGGAAGATCTAAAATACTTAATCCAGGCACTTTAAAATAAAAAAATAAGAAAAGCGAAACAGTTAATATAAAAATCAAAATTAGTGCTGGGGAGTGTAGCCCAGTGGGAAAGCCTTTGCCTAACGAGCACAACAAGGCCCTATGTTCAATTCCAGCACCACGAAAATGCAAATAGATTTCTATTTGTCAAAATTTTTTAAGTTCTGTTTTGTTTTTCGGTTTTTGAGATGGCTGTGTAGAATTGGCTGGTCTTGAATTCTCAAATATCCACCTGCCTCTTCTACCAGCATCCTGGAAAGAAAGGCCTGCACCACCATGCCTGACTGTCAATTAAATCCAAAGAAAGTGACACTTCTGTTAGCACTTGTCATGCTTGAAAGTTTACATTTGTTTAAGCACTTACTTCCTGCTGCCTCTTTTGCCACACCAAAATAAAGCAAGTCCATGTTTATCTAGCATCCAGGAGGCCATCCATAGAGATTTGGTGAATGAATGATTCACTGGTGTTGATTATAGCCAGAAGCTCATAGGTACACAGGGGAATCTAGATTTCAGTCAAGACATTATATCAATTCACCCAGAAAGAATTGAAAAGGTTCTCAACTGTGAGCTTCTTCTACATGATTCTTAACAAATCTATAGCAGAAGACCTGGGAAGTTTAAGGAGGCAGACTTCTGGATGCAGATTTTCAGCAACCCTAGGAAATGGCACCAAAATTATTATTAATTAATTTATTTATTTATTTATTGACAGGATCACGCTACATAACCCTGGATGGCCTGGATCTCGTTATGTAGACCAGGCTGTCCTTGAAGTCAGAGAGGGATTAAATGCTTGGACCATTATGCTCAACTGTTTTTAGCAGGCTTCCAAGATGTGTTCAAAGTTTAAGAACTGCTGGGCCCGAACTAGCACAGGATATGATTGTGTCTTGGAAAACTTCTGTGTTATATCATAAAGTGAAAAGAAGGAGAAACCCATGAGAAACCAACACAGCACCCAGAGAACCAGAGTTAGAGAGCTGTTGTTTGGAGCCCAAGAAGATGGGAGTTTAACATCAAAGCAGATGGCCGAAAGTGTGAAATGTAACTGAGATGGAAAGAACAAAGAAAAATTCATCAATAAATATGGCAAAAGAGCCACTGTGGGCTTTGAGCATAATTTTTTAGTAAACTCATGACAACAGAATACAGATTTTTCTGGACATTGACCGTTCCTTGAAGATCTAGATCAAAAGAATGCCTCTCAGGGATGTACTTGCTGGGTTTTCTGGACACAGTCCAACAGTCTTGGGGGCAGTGTTCTATTAAAGAAGTTCATCTCTTGCACTGAAATTTGGCTTGTAGGCTTTATCTTTTAGACTAAGAATTTGTTGAAGGCATGACCTGTGTCTGTTTTCAACACTCTTTTCCCATCAGTTTTATTGAGATATAGCTAACAAAAATCGTATGCATTTAAGTTATACAATTTGGTGGGTTTGTGGGGGGTTTGCGTTGATTTTTAATTTTTTTTTAATTTTTATTTTATGTGTATGAGTGAAAGTGCACCCGTGTCATGCAGTGCCAGTGGAGGACAGAAAAGGATGTTGGACCCCCTGGAACTGGAGTTATGGATGGTTGTTAGATGCCATGTGAGTGCTGAGATTCAAACACAGGTCTCCTGTAAGAACAGTCAGTGCTCTTAACTGCTGAGCCATCTCTCTAGCCCCAATTTCTTAATTACAGGGTCTCCCTGTAGTCCAGTGGACCTCGATCTCACAGACATCTGCCTGCCTCTGCCTCTGCCTCTGCCTCCTGAATGCTGGGATTAAAGGCATATGCCACCACGCCTGGCTTATTTATTTGAGACAGGATCTTGTTGTGTAGCCCAGGCTGGCTTGGAAACTCAGTGGTCCTCCAGTCTTGGCCTCCTGAGAGCAGGTCAGCACCATTACACCGGGTGTCAACTTGCTATTTTGATAAGGAGCTATACCATGTTCTTTTTCAAATCTCCAGTGTCTGGCATAATACCTGGCATACAGAAGATATCTGTAATGCTTGCTGATCAAATGACTGGAGCGCAATTGGAGGCAAAGGGCAGTGAAAGTAGAGGTTTGAAGTGAGAGAAAAGCAAGAAACTGATGCCTTGGGAGCAGAGCATGTGAGTCAGATCTTCCAGAGCACCGGCTAGACACTATTCAAAGCACACCTCTAGTTTCAGAAATCAGGCAAGCCAGCTCTTTCTGTCTTCAAGAAAGCAGAAGAGGATGGCAGGTAAAGGTAAAGTAGCTTAGCACAGATTGTCCTTTTCTAAATAAGTCATAAAGTTAGGGTCTTTGCTGTATATGAAGAACAAAAAGCAACGTGTGGAGCCTGAAGGGGAAGACGAGAAGAGTATTGGTGAGCATGAACTGGTGAATCAATATGAGATCAGTAGAGCCTTTTCTAAATTCCCAGGCAGTTCGATCATGGTAAAGCAGACTGCATCTGCTAGTCATATTCATTGGGACGGGCTTCCAAACTTGGCCTGATAACTGAACCCACCGAGCTCTCCCTCTCTTCAACATTCTTTGCATTTCCTTTTCACTGTCTATAAGGCTCTCACTATTCACCTCCCCTGTGGTAGCTACTTGCCATTGCTTTACTAGACTGTAAACAGTTGAAAGCAAAGGCTGTGCGTTATTCGTTGTTGTGCTGTCCCTTTGAGTAGTGCTTTGTGCACAACAGATCAAGCGTGCGCCTCTATCACATCATGCTGTATTGGTTTGCTTGTTGGGCTCCATCTTTAGATCATGAACTCAAAGGAATTGTGTTCTATTCACCCATGTCTCCTTTGGGTTTGGAACATTACAAACGTTGCAAACGCTACAAATGCTGCAAACACTACAAACGTTGCAAATGTTACAAATTTGCAAACGTTTATTGAGTCAAATCTTGTTGAAATGAATGCATGAAAGAAATATTGGATAAAAGAATGAATTAAAAGGTGGAAATATGTGGGATGGGGATATAAAAAGATCACACACTGTGTGTGCAGGTACTGTGTTTTCTTTTATATATTTATCTGTTGGGACCCTTTTTTACACCCAGCTTAAATATTTGTAGTACACTTTTGGTATCTTATGCAAATCTCTAGCTACTCCCTTTGATAGCTGAGAGCCTGGGTAAGGGTGAGCTTGTACCTAAAGGACTGATCTGTCGGCCTTCATTGGGTTCTCTCTGAATGAAACCAATGCTGCAGCACTATAGTCAGTTTTCTTGTAAGGTGAAATTTAAGGTTGGTATTGCAGAGAAAAAAAAATTACTGATGAAACAGTGTGGAAATAGTAACGAATCAGAGTATAAATCCACTTCCATTGCAGGAAAACAGCTACGTGAAGGACATCTTTAAATGCTCACCGGTTAGGGAATTTTTTTTTTCTTTCCTTAAAAAAAAGTGGTTTTCAGTCTGAGGGCAGTTGAAAATAACAAAAGTTGACCCTCACATAGGGCATACTGTGTCCCCAGGCATTATTCTAATGTGATTTGCATATGTTAACTCATTTCTCACAACAACCTTTTGAGATAGATATCATTCATGGTCTCCATTTTAGAGAAGAATTTAAGGGACACAGGTAACACAACGTGATCAAGGTCATAGAGCTAGAAATGAGAGAGGTGAGATTCATAGCCTAGAGTCTGGCTCCAAAGCATTTAAAAAGAAAGCACTGGTTTAGGTGTTTGTTTTTTCTGTGCATGTTAAAAAGAAAATCACTTATCTTTTTCTGATTATGACAACTCCAGAATTGATAGGTTGTTATATGCCAGGGACGCAATACAGGCTTGAGCTACATTCGCTTATTCTTCCTCACAATTAAACCTGGGAGGCATTATTTCATCCTCATTTCCAAGACAAAAAACAAAGCCAAAAAACCCTTAAAAGTTGAACATTAAAACGATTCGCCCCCAAGATTGAAATGCAAACAGGCTAAGTCCATTAGGAGCTCCGTCTTTTTTCCTGGTAGTGAAATAAGGCGAACAGAGGACCCTAAAGGGATGCTAGGCGAGTACAATGAAATAATGGATGTGAAAAGGCCTTGGGGAACAAGTGCAAGGGATAAGGCCTATCATTTGAGTCACTGTTGAAACCCAGCTGCCCTGGACCCGTGTCTTGGGGTCTCTGACCCCATCCTTGCGCCTTCTCTCCCGAATCACCAGCGTTATCTCGAAATCTCTTTCTCTGTCTCCTTCGATCCTGCCGGCTAGCACCCGGCGGAGCGGTGGAGCGGAGAATGGAAGGGACGCGCGCGAGCTGGAGGCGTGGCCCGCCGCCCCATCCGTCCGAGGGTTTGGCCCTCGCACATGCGCTGTCCTTCAGCGGCTTCACCCGCCCGATCCCGGTAGCCAATCAGAGCCCGCGGCGCGCTCGGGACGTCTTAACGTTGTGTGGGTCGTGTGCGTGCGAAGGGGGGTAACGTAAGGGCGCTCGGCTAGCCCGTCTCTCCTCGAATGAAAGGAAACAACCTCCGGCGACAGAGCCCCGCTCTTCGGCAGTGCCGGAGAACCGCCGCCCGCCTTCTTTCTCTCTCTCCTCGTGGGCGCTGTCCTCCCGCCGCCAGCCTGCTGGCCCCGTCGGTAAGTTCCCCGCGGAAGCCAGGGGCCCCCCATTCTCCGCCTGGCGGGAGAAGAGGAGGAGGATGGCGGTGGCCAGGCCGCCGCCCCTGCCCGTTGTTAAGGGGGACTCTTCGGTGGTCTCGCTTTATTGTCGGGGACCCCCAGAAGTGCCGTGCATTGTAGGCGCTCTCCAGAAAGGTTGGCGGCAAAGTGCTTCGGAGCGCCGAGGGGTCCATTAGACTGCAGCCTGGATTTCGGGGGAGGGGGCTTCACAGTGGAGGAGGGAAAAAAGGGGGTTGGTTTGGTTTGGGGGGTTTTCTTTTTTTAAACTCTTTGCAGTTGCTTAGGACATATTCGGGAAGGAGGGTGACTCGTAGTTTCGGAAGTGTAAGAAAATCTGGTTAGGATGGAATGAGGGGAGAAAAAAAAACTCCCAAGTGAGGAAAATCGGGGGTGAAAGTGATGGATAAGGGGAAGCTTCAGAGGAAGATCATTAGAGGACGAACTCCGGGGGGAGGGAGGGGATGTGAAGAAAGTGGCACGATGGTATTTTCCTGGATTCCAGAGGCTTGGCAAACGACAATTGCGGGACCCCTGGCTATCCTACTGAAAGGAACCTGCTGGAGTGCTGGAGAGGAAGATAGTTTTTCGAGTTTATCCAGCGCCTTGATTAGAGACCTAGGAGTCTAGTGTGTGACCGGGGAATAAATAACGGAGAGGATACGCTCTGTTCCGTGTATCGTCCTTTTTTATATGGGCGAACAGCACGCTATTCTTTTGCACTTTCCACTCGTTTCGATATTCTGCGTGAAAGTGAAAAAAAAATCTTTTGATCTCTGAAAAGCCTTAAATTTTCATCCTGTTTCTACGGAATATCAGGTCTTGTTCATACAGTTCAAATTCTTTCTCTACCCTTTGGCTTGACACAACTGGAAAATTCCTTTAGTTTCTTTTTGAATAACCGCAAAAAAGCAGTGCGAAGCTTGTAACAATATCGTGCAACCAAATTCAGGTGCCCTTCCGGTACATCCCATTTGGTTCTTTCTCTCCACTGTAACTTTCCTGACAGAAAGGCTGTGTATCTTTGGAGGCTCGCGTTTATGTATTTTTATCTGTATAAATCAACTGGCTTGCATGCGGAAGATTTTTTTCATCTTCCGGAACTGCCGTTTTTGTTTTGTTTTGTTTGTTTTTCTGTGAAAAATGTTCTTTTCAGATACCAGTCATTGAATGAGCTCTGGACTTGATTCTTGAATGCCCTTCCTTCACGTGTCAGGTGATTTTCTACCTTGGTGCTTCTCAGCATCTTTGAAAATCAGAAACTCATTGTCTCAGCTAACTAACTGCTCGATCGCCTGCATTTTTTTTCCGGACATTTAAGCTGTTTCTCTCACAGTGTTACTGTTAACCTCTTTCTGCTTTGAAGTGATCCATTATGTTTCTTTGAAGGAAAAGGTTTCATTGTTGGGTTGAAGTCGAAACTTTGAGCTCCACATGCTCCGGAAAACCTCTTTAAATTAAAATGAAAGTGCCATATACCTATGGGGGATTCTGAACCCCATAGTAATAATCTTTGAATGGCCTTAACTAGAAACCACAAATGTGACAGCGGCAGATCAAAATCTCTATTTTTATGGTAGACATTTTTGCTGGGAGTCGTTTCCATGACGTTCTCGACCGCATGTTTTATAAGGAGGCTGAAAAAATTAGCAAGATACGCACACATGCACTATTTGAATTTTAGTGGAAAAATCCATTTAGTCATTGCATATCAGGGCAAATTTTTTATTCATTTGTTGCACTTTTTGTGTGTTCGTGTGTTCACTTACAAATAAAATTTAAATTGATTGCCAAGAAACATATGAATATTTTTGAATGCAAAATTAAGTGTACCTTTTTTTGTTCTCTTTTAGATTGTGGAATGTTTGCTACCTAGAAAAGCAGGTTCTCAAAATTAGGATGAGGAAATTTACCTGTTTATTAATTGAAAGAGGCAATATTCAATATGGATAGTATTTGGGGCGGGGGATACCATTACAGAATTAATTTGGGGAGTAAAGAGTGATTTTCCACTCTAGGACTTTTACTTAAGTCGGTTTTGTAGCCAGTGCTAGGATTGTATAGAAACTGCACATTAAAGATGCCTGTGTAGATTAGATTTATAATGTGCCATCCTTTCAGCTGGCCTGGATGACCTGGAGACATTCTAAATGCGTTACAGTGACTGCACAGTGCCTATTATTTGGTGCATGGTAGTAAAGAAAACTAATTTACAACTCAGATAGCAGATTTTCATGCTATTTATGAATCTTGGTGTTTTTGCATAGGTCTAAAAATTTGAGGAGCTATATTCTTCATAAAGCAACTGGACACATGCTTGCCCCAACAAACACAAACATACTTCCCCTTTTGTTTCTTTTGTTTCTCTGTTAGTCTTTTTTTTTAATGCTAAAAGATTTGCTGCCTGTTTCCAGTCAGTTTCACAGTGTATAGCCCGTATTCTGAATTAAGTACTATTGTAAAGTATCTCAAGGCTTTTGGAAAACTGAGGTCAAATTAAAGATAGCATTAGGAGTTCGTTAAACCCAGAAAAGCAGAGACAAGAAGACCTCTGAAGTCTTGTTAAAAAGAGAATAACTGGATATAAATTAAAGAGAAGAAATGTTTGCTTTGTGGCTTCCTATTAAATTTTGATTATGTGAGCCGAATTGCTCTGAGTGTTTGTAGATGGACCATTACACTGTTGCTGCTGCTGTTGGTTATGAGTTTCTCAAAACACGTGAGTTTCTCAAAAAGCCAGAGTGGTAGCCAGTCAGTGTTTTAAGCATGGTGTCATAAGAATGTTCAAATCTCTATAAATTCATAAATGAATCTGAAGACAACAGTTCGACATTTTATTGATTGTGGTATATTTTATGGCAACCTGAGTCCTAAACTGCTTACTCCTATTAACTTGAGGAAACTACACAAATAGAATAACTGTTAATTTGTTTAGTGGGCACTGAAGAATCCTGTTAACAGTGATGATCCAGTCAGGCGTAGTGGCACTCCTTTAATCCCAGCACTCAATGCAGGTGGATCTCTTGTGAGTTCAAGGCCAGCCTGGTCTACTGATCTAGTAGTGAGTTCCAGGCCAGCTGGGGCTACAAGGAGACCCTGTCTCAAAAAGATTTAAATAAAGAAAAAGAGTGGTGATCCAAATCTGAAGACTTCTGTGTTACAGCTTTTCTTCCCTTTTTTGGTTTGACTGTACAACCTATAATTATAAGCTGATCAAATGCAGGGCTCTTTCAGAAGAATTTTCCTTCCACTACACAGTATTGCTAATTTAAGGATGGAAGTTCCTGTCAGTTTGGCTTTAATTAATAAGCCAACTTGGGCTAAATCTCAGTTATATAGTATGGTTTAGTAAATAACTGGGTCCTAAAGACTGCATTTTTAGTAGAATATTAGAAGCTTAATTTTTTTTCATTAAATGGAAAAGGAACCCAAATAGCACCAATCTAAGGTCATATACATGATTTTCTTAAACTTGAACTGTTTCAAGTTTTAAAAATAAAGTGTTCCAAAGTCATGCTTAAGTAAATTCATTTTACTTTTATTATTTTACCAATAAGTAAACTTGAAGAAATTAAGCTATTATAGAATTCGGTTCTCTGGATATTTCATAGTTTCTACTCTGTTGTTAGCTGTATGTCATTCTGTTTCTTTGGTGGCCAACTACGTACACTTGAAAACTATTTTTATTAAGCCAGCAGATGATAGTTTAATACTGTATTTTTCTTTTTTGTTTTTAGAAATAGGGTGTCACTATGTAAACCAGGCTGGCCTCAGACTCACTTTGTAGCCCAGGCTGGCCTCAGACTCTCTTTCTTCCATCATCAACCTCCTAAGTGCTAGGATTATAGGCATGCACCACCATATTCACAGAGAAATGGTTTTATGTTACATGTCTCCTAATTTGAGAGCATTTTAATTTTTTCAGTGATTCTATACTTCATTTAGTGATCTTTCCAACCTCTTTCTCTCTCAATAGATATAATATATTGAAGGCAATTTGGGTTTTAAAATTAATTTATCTATACCAAACCATTTTTAAGTAACTATATTAAAACCTAGGCCAGACATGAAACTAGTTGCATGAATATGTATAAGCTAATTTTAAAAATTAATTAACTGTTTTGTTGCCCTTCTTATTCTTTAGCATTTCTTGAGGCTTAAAGTGGCATTCTAAAGGCAATTTAAAAATCATGTCAAGCTCAATTGAACAGAAAAAAGGGCCTACAAGACAGCGCAAATGTGGCTTTTGTAAGTCAAATAGAGACAAGGAATGTGGACAGTTGCTAATATCTGAAAACCAGAAGGTGGCAGCACACCATAAATGCATGGTGAGTACATTGGCAGCAATCGAGAGACCTTGAAACCATTCCTTCGAGAATCTTAATGAGTATGGCTGAATATGAAAGGAGAAATTGTTACATTTTCAAGAAATGCTTTAACACGATGCTATGCCATTTTAGTAGAAAATTCATTTTTAAATTTAACATCTTTTTCATTGTTTTGTTGTAATTATATATGACCCTTAATTTTTTAATGTAATTTATAGCTATTTTCATCTGCTTTGGTATCGTCACACTCCGATAATGAAAGTCTTGGTGGATTTTCTATTGAAGATGTCCAAAAGGAAATTAAAAGAGGTACAAAGCTGGTAAGTTGGTGTTTTTGCCTCTTGAGTATACAAATTATTTTGAATTTATTAAGGAGGAAGTTACTTATTTTAGTGTATTCCATTGTAAATGTCATATAATTTTTAAGTTGTGGACTCTCTATTATTCCCTAGCTTAGTAAAATCCAAAGCTGGCTTTAATTTATATACAACTCAATAAAATGGATTGAATCAATATTTTTATTATTGAAATCTTCTTCTCCAAGGAATTCAAATCTTCCTAGAGACTGTGACTATGTACAAAACAAGCAGATCATGTCTCATGTTTAAAGTCTTCTTTCAAATACATTTTTCATAATCTGGTATGTTTTCCTTTTTCATCATGAAGTTACTGTAGGTCATCAGAGATGAAGATGACAGTGACTCCTCAGTTGGGAACGTTAGCACTTGCTAAACAAAATACTGGACTGTGGCTTAGCTATATGACATAGCATTTATGACTGCCGATAACTTTTGGTGAATTTTCCAGGAGAGTTTTCTGAAGTTGTGCTAGTGCACTGCTCCTGTAGTTATCTTCACCACCAGTAAGCAGATTGGCCAGACATTCCATTGTTCCTTGGAAACGTAGTGTCATCCCAATTGATATTTCCAACACATTTGGCTGTTTTTCTTGTATATAGCTCTTTATTGAAACGATATCCATAAAGATGCGTTTAGTTGCTTCACTATCAAATATTTAATTATTTGGATCATTATTTGAATCATTTTTATATGTCCATTGTTGTAGTGAGACCTTCATTTTGAAAGAGCCACCCAAGCCCTGAGCGGTACATACTAATAGAAAAGGTCTTTTTTTTTTTTCATTGTCATTTTTCTTTAGTGGTTTTAGATTCCTTCATATAACTGTAGTGTGCAGATTAAAACAAAATAGAGCACTCTGATTTTATGTCCTGGTCCTTAAAACAAATGAAGCCTTTAATCCCAGCACTGGGGAGGCAGAGGCAGGCAGATCTGTGTGACTCAAGTTCTGCGTGGTCTTCATAGCAATTTCCAGGCCAGATGGGGCTACAGGAAGACCCTGTCTCAAACAACAACAACAACAACAGATTCAGATGCAATGAGAAAATACAGTTTACCTGAAAGTAGTGTTTTAAATCTCATCACATTATTATTTATTCCTCGTCATTATAAACAGAAAATCATTCTCCTTGACTTGTTGGAGTTTTCATTATCTAATGTGCCTCCTGTAGTCAGAATAGGAATAGTTTTGACCTCTAACATTGAAGTAGTATTAAGCAGTATGGTGCCTGGTTTGGCACGTTACATGAAACAGCAATATGCATCTGCTAGTATTGCTATATTCAATGGAGATTTAATTTTCTGAACCTGTTTATAAAGAAAATATCAGAACTTTATACACATTTCACTCTTATGAATTGTTTTGATTGTTTTCAATGTTGTGTTATGTAGTGTTAATTTTCCCCTAAGTGTGATATGCTATAAATAACCAAACTTGTTCCTTGATCTAGTTAGTGGAATAATATTGAGGTTTAAAAACCCAGAAATAGTAATAGACTTGGGCTTGAGTCCCAGCTCTGTCACTTACTAACTGGGTGACCCTGAGTAAGTTATTTATTTCTCTAGTCATGTATTCTTGCACAGAGGAGATATTGACTGTACCTGCCTCTCAGAATTATTACCAGGATCAAAAGAGAATACACAGGACTGAGCATTGTGCTCAGCACATAGTTAGGACTTGATAAATAGTTACCACCTCTATAAGTATTATAATTAAAAATAAAATCAGCTAATGTCAATGAAGACTAACAAAATGGACAAGTCAAAAGATCACATTTTTTTTTTTGGTGCTAGAGACTGAACCCAGGGCCTCAAGGATGCTAAGCATGTGCTTTATCACCAAGCTATACCCCAGCCCCAAGGTGTATTGTTCTTTCTTTCAATGACCACCATGGGCACATTAATATACCCTTAATCAAGTCATTAACTTATTTGTCTTTTTGCCAGCTATCAGTAGATAATGCTTTATTGCTGCTTACATTGACTAAAGATTGTCGTAAAAGGCAGAAAGATTTACCTTAGGGCTGGTGGGGTGTCTCCCTGACCTGATGGAGCACTTCTCTAGCATGCATATGATCTTGGGTTTTCATGATCCTGGGTCCCATCCCTAGGACTGCTGCCAGTCACTCACCAACTCACCAACTAAATAAGAGTCATGTTTGTTTCAGAAGCTCTTTGACACACAGGCATCTCATATTATGGAATAGTAGAAGAAGAGGAGAGTTGGTAGAAGAGGAGCGCCTGGGCATATTAGTTTGCGCTTTCCTTCACCCAAAATAATATACCAGAATTTCACTAACATATATAGGTAATAGGAAAGGAGCATTTATATTTCACATCGAAATGCCTTTTTTAAATTAAGATTTTATTTTTAATCATGTGTATATGTGTGTGTACATGTGTGGGGGGAGTGTGCTTATGAGTGCAATTGCCCTTGGAGGCCAGAAGAGGGCATCAGAACCCCTGGAACTGGACTTAGAGGCAGTAGTAAGCCCCCGATGTCAGTACTGGGAACTGAATTCAGGTCCTCTGAAAGAACAGCACATACTCTTAACCAATGAGCCGTCTCTCCAGCCTCTGAAATAACTTTTAAGATTTCTTTTTGCTTCCAGTTTTTTCCCTTCCATTATATTCTTTTTTTGGTTTTTTTGTTTGTTTTGTTTTGTTTTGTTTTGTTTTGTTGAGACAGGGTCTCCCTGTAGCCCCTGCTGGCCTCAATCTCAATTTTAAACTGAGGTGCTACCATCTAACTGAAAATTCTTCAATTTAGTTTTCCATTACTTTTCCCTCTGTACATTTTTGTAAGCAATAAAGGGCTATAAATCAAATAGGAAAGAAAAAAACGAATGGTTTTATATCTTAAACTACATGTAAACCAAGTAACTATTTTTCCTAGTCGACTTTCTTTTTTTTGAGACAGGGTCTTACTATGTAGCCCTGGGTGTCCTAGAACTCATTGTGTAGACTAGGCTAGCCTCAAACTCACACAGATCCGCCTGCCTGGGATTAAAAGCATTTGCCACCATACCTGGTCCTAATCAACTTTTTAAGGTATTTTATCCTGTAAGCCTTTTTCCCCTGGCCCCAGTTCAAATGGATTTCTGGATGGAAATTAGATACTGAATACCCACTGAAAACAGAAGCAGGAGAACATATTCCTGTGCATGTAAGGCACATTTCATTTGGTACCTGGTGTTGGTTCCAGAGGTGCCCATTTGGATAGAACAGACGTGGAGCTTGAGGTGGAAGGGTACAGGTGTCTAGATCAGTCAGAATCTTAAAGGGTGCAAGTGCTTAGTAGAGCCATAAATGCAGGTGTGTGGTTCCTGTACCCAGAGGCAGTTTTTCAAGATTTCCATATCAGCCTCCAGGATCAGGGGGAAAGCTATTTTGTATGAACATATTTATCTCTTTTCCATCATCATTAAATATATAGGACCAAGACAGACTTGGAGAAAAAGAAAAACTTTTTGCCGTTTAGATCTTTAATTTTCCAGAGTAACTTCCAGTTCTTACTGAAGACACAGGAAGGCACCACAACTGTGTCCTGTGCTGGCTTTTTTCTTTTTTCTTCCTTGAGACAGGACCTCCTGTAGCCCACCCAGGCTGTTCTCAAAGTCACTATGCAGCTGAGGATAATCTCCAACTTCTGATCCTTTTGACACCTCTTCCCAAGTGTTAAGATTGTAGTCATGTGCTACCATACCCACCTGTACTATTTATTCTTATTATCCAGACAAACAAAAATTTAATTTCCAAGTAAAATTAGGAGTTACATTGATTTTTGGAATTTGTCCCAAGGAGACACTTGAGGATTGTATTTAAGGAGCATACTCTTTGTGAATGAAACTACCTGGTGAAATCTCTAAGATCTACAATGGATAGCTGCTTACTAATTGCTACCTGTGTTAGATATATCACAGATTTCCCAAAGAGTTCAGGAGGTCATGTTGTTTGCCTTCTGTGCCCTTAGGCAGGATTCCTGACAAGTCATCCAAGATGATATTTTCCTCTGCCCTGCTCTCATGTTAGGAAATTGTGAATTCTACTCAAGTAACATGAACAAACCAGTAATATATAAGCTACAGATCTGAGACATTCATCCCTCTGTGTAACTCAAGTATTTCTCTTAATTTAAAGCTTTTTATTTTAGGTTTTCTTTCCATTAAAGAAGTATTTAGGTTTTCCTCCTCTTATTTAAAAAGAATCCTTCCTATACATGATGGCAGTCTTCATATAATTCCTAAATTTTCCCTTTTTAAATGAAAGTTTGCTAACATTTCTTATGAAACCCTCCAAACATTTTATACTTTTCTAGTCACAGAGCTAACTTTTTCTTTTGTTGTTGTTGTGCTTTTGTTTGGTTTTCTTTTTAATATTTTATTATTTTTATTTTATGTATATGAGTGTTATACCTGCATGTAGGTAAGTGCATCTGTGTTGTGCAGTGCCCGTGAAGGACAGAAGAGGCTGGAGGACAAAAGAGGCTGTCAGATCCCCTGGAACTGGAGTTATGGACAGTTGTGGGGTTTTTTGTTTGTTTCTTTTGTTTTTGTTTTTGTTTTTGTTTTCTTTTGCAACAGGGTCTCCCTGTAGGTAGCCCTGGCTGGCCTAGAACTCTCTGCAGACCAGGCTGGCCTCAGTCTCAGAGATCCACCTGCCTCTGACTCTGGAGTGCTGAGATTAAAGGTGTGCTTGTACTGCCATGCTTGGCAAGCTAACCTTTCTTCCTTTTTTAAAAATTTATTTATTTATATTTATTTTTTAAATTTTATTTATTTTTTTAAATTTTACGTGTATGCGTGTATTGCCTCTGGAGTTACGGGCAGTTGTTAGCTGCCATGTGGGTTTGGGATTCGAACCTGGATCTTCTGCAAGAACAGTCAGTGTTCTTAACTGCTGAGCCCTCTCTCCAGCCCCTAAAATTTATTTTTATGTGTATGAGTGTTTTGCCTGCATGTATG